TTAGATATCCTGGCAGAATACCTCTCTCTTAGAGGTTTCCAGTTCCAGAGACTGGATGGTAGTACCAAGGCAGAACTTCGTCAGCAAGCAATGGATCACTTTAATGCTCCTGCTAGTGACGACTTCTGCTTTCTTCTTTCGACCCGAGCTGGTGGTCTGGGTATCAATCTTGCTACTGCTGATACAGTCGTTATATTTGACTCTGACTGGAATCCACAGAATGATCTGCAGGTACCTTTTGATATAAGTATAGTTACTCGTTATCACTATAGGCTTATTATAATGGAATCCCAATATTATTAATATCAGGCGATGAGTCGAGCGCACAGAATTGGGCAACAAGAAGTTGTGAACATTTATAGATTTGTGACGAGTAAAAGTGTTGAGGAAGAGATCCTAGAGCGCGCTAAGAGAAAAATGGTACACTAAAACAAGATTTATATTTCATATCTAGTCCTAACTATTTTAGTCCGCGCTTCTTTAGGTTCGTGATCATTTGGTAATCCAAAAACTAAATGTTAGGGATGTGATAGCTTCTAAAACAAGATTTATATTTCATATCTAGTCCTAACTATTTTAGTCCGCGCTTCTTTAGGTTCTTGATCATTTGGTTATCCAAAAACTAAATGCGGAGGGTAGGCTGGAGAAGCGGGAAACTAAAAAGGGAGCTAACTTTGACAAGGTAAGGAAATCTTTTGAATTCCTGCCTGATTTCTTTTCAATGTTTAACTTCTTTAAGAACTAACCAATACTTATATTCTAGAACGAGCTTTCTGCAATATTAAGATTTGGAGCAGAAGAACTTTTTAAAGAGGATAAAAATGATGAAGAAAGCAAAAAGCGGCTGTTAAATATGGATATTGACGAAATCCTAGAGAGGGCAGAGCAAGTAGAGGAAAAGGATGCTGGCGAATCAGAGCATGAACTGTTGGGTGCTTTTAAGGCATGTTCATGTGTTTTTTCCTTTCTTGTCCGTCAGGATAGCAAAGTCTTCTTGGCATAGTTTTTTGAATCAGTTTTCCATTTCTTATCTCTGTAAAATATCTTCCTCTGCTGACTTTTACTCGCATTCAGGTTGCTAACTTTTGTAACGCTGAAGATGATGGGTCCTTCTGGAGTCGTTGGATAAAACCTGAATCTGTGGTCACAGCTGACGTAAAAGTTCTCTCTTTAGTAATAATATGACCTCCTATGCCGTAGATTTTTTTCTTACTCATGTCTAATTATATATGCCTTTTCAAACTTGTGTTATCTTTTGTACAGGAAGCTCTTGCACCACGGGCGGCTAGGAATAAGAAGAGTTATGTGGATCCTAGCCATCATGAGATGAGCCATCCTGACAGGACCAGTAAAAGAAAAAAGAAAGGATCTGAACCTCCAGAGCATTCAGATAGAAGTCAAAAGCGCAGAAAAACTGAATATTTTGTTCCCTCAACTCCAATATTAGAGGGGACTTCAGCTCAAGTGAGAGGCTGGTCCTATGGAAATCTCCCTAAGAGAGATGCACAACGATTCTACCGAACTGTAAGTCAGAAAATATTCCTTTCTCTATTTAAGGCTCCTCAAACTGTTCAGCCGCAAATAATTCCATGGTTGACTGGGCTTTACATTTTTCGTTGTACATCAGGTCATGAAGTTTGGTAATCATAATCAAATTGCATGTATTGCGGAAGAGGTGGGTGGTGTTGTTGAAGCAGCCGGAGAGGAAGCACAGGTTGAGCTATTTGATGCTTTAATTGACGGTTGTCGGGAATCTGTTGAAACAGAAGACTTTGAATCAAAGGTACAACTTGAAATAAAAACATCTTAACTGAGGCTCTTTTTTTTGTTCTACCGAAATATCTCCAATCTTCCTGTTTGCTATTTAATGCAGGGTCCTGTGTTGGATTTCTTTGGTGTGCCAGTAAAAGCAAACGAACTATTGAAACGTGTGGAAGGACTCCAGCTCTTATCAAAGCGTATTAGTCGATATGAAGATCCAATTACACAATTCCGGGTGTTATCCTACCTTAAACCTTCAAATTGGTCCAAGGGTTGCGGTTGGAATCAGTGTACGTGCGATTGTATTCATTATTGTATGATATCGACACACTAATGTTTTTCCATTCTAATAAATCTTTTACATGTTGGATATTCTCAGTTGATGATGCGAGATTGCTTCTGGGAATACTTTATCATGGTTTTGGCAACTGGGAGAAGATAAGATTAGATGAGAGCCTTGGACTTACAAAGAAGATTGCTCCTGTTGAACTTCAACACCACGAGACTTTTTTACCTCGTGCTCCAAACCTAAAGGAGCGTGCTACTGCACTTCTGGATATGGTGAATATTACTTGCTATAATTCCTTTTGACATACTTTTTCTTATTAACATTGGTTCAAGAATCTGTTGACCGTCTGAAAATTACATTTCACAGGAACTTGCTGCAGCAGGAGGGAAAAACATAAATGGCAAAGCATCACGTAAAAATTCCAAAAAGGTTCTCATCAATCAATTTAAAGGAACTGCAAGAGACCGGAAAGGGAAATCTGGTCCTGCCAATCTGAGTTTAAAAACAACAAAGGATGGACCTCGGAGAACCCAAAAAGCTGAGCCGTTGGTGAAGGAGGAGGGAGAAATGTCTGATGATGAGGAAGTTTACGAGCAGTTCAAGGAGCAGAAATGGATGGAATGGTGTGAAGATGTATTGGCTGTTGAAATCAAAACACTTGAACGTCTACAAAAATTGCAAACAATTAGTGCGGATCTGCCAAAGGAGAAGGTTTAGTTAATTCTTTTTTTATCTACCATCCTATATAGTGCTGATCGTGCTGCGTTTTTATCTGATAAGTTTTTTTTCTTTAGGTGCTTTTCAAAATTCGGAGATATTTGCAAATCCTTGGGAGGAGAATAGATGAAGTTGTTTTTGAACACGAGGAAGATTCATACAAGCAAGATAGTAAGTACTTGTCTCTTTTGGTATAGATGATAGTGGGAATATATATATATATACCTTTTGCTAAGATCTAACAACTGAAATCGAAATGCAGGAATGACAATGAGATTATGGAACTATGTTTCAACATTCTCAAACTTATCGGGGGATCGACTCAAACAGATATACTCCAAATTGAAGCAGGAGAGAGAGGAAGAAGAAGGGGTTGGACCATCGCACCTCAATGGCTCAACAGCCGGTAGGCAACAAAGATTCAAAACACCCGGACCTCCGCAAGTTAACAGGGGCATTGACACAGCAAAATTTGAGGCATGGAAAAGGAGAAAAAGAGCAGAAAATCAAAATCAATCTGAGCGACCACCGATAAGCAACAACCCTAACTCACTGGGAATACTGGGCCCTCCACCATCTGATAGAAGCCATCGGGCACGCCAAGCTGGATTTCCGCCAAGATAAGTTTACTCTCTACTAGCTAGCAACCATGCAATATGCTGTGCAGCTGAAAGGTGAACTCTGGTAGTTCAAAAACATAGATACCCCCGTGCAGATTCAATTTCTTTTTCCCAACACAGCAGCAATGTTTGGTTTTCTGGTTGTTGGCATGCCCGACCAACTGATGCGGAATGATACATATATATATATATATATATATATATCTGAGAAACTCACAAATTTGTTATTGAGCCAAGGGATAGTACTCTTCATGCATAGTGATTTTGCTTAGGTGAAATAGCTGTGGATGTTGTCGAACTCCATTTCTTTTATATATGTTATTACCCTTGGAATAGAGTAAAAATCAAACTGTACATTAGCAGTTTTGTTTATTTTAATTTCCTTATCCTTCTCTCTTATATTTCGCATTTCGAAAGTTCGTTTCTATGGAAAAGGGCAATTGCGCCATGATTTGTATGTTCACTTCTCATCTCCTTCGCTTTTGCTGAAGAAGACAATTAGAGTAACTTTGTAAACAAGTTCTGTCATTATGTAATAGGGACAGCTGGGATATGTTCCCAATATTCTTCAAGTTTAATTGGGCTGAAATGCTATAACTACAACACAATTAAACTCTTTTTCTGTGCACATTTAAACTCTGATAAGAAAAACAAGTGCGACAAACTTGAGAGATCAGTAGTTTGAACAGAGCCTCACAGGGACATTTTGCAAGGAATCTGACAAATTTGAAACTCGGCATGCACATCTGTTATCCACTCTTATTGGCTATTAAATCGTTTTTTTTATTATTCATCTGTTCATAGAGATTTTAAAGTAAAAAGAAGAAAAACTTAAAGATACCTCAGACCTGAACACTTGAAAAGAGATAAAGATGTGTTTGAATTTTTTGCTAGTTTTAGTTATTTTCATACTATTGGTATGCAGCTCTCAAAAACAAAAAGGTATATGCTATGTTATCAAAAAATCAGTTTTATGCAATATAACCAAAAATCCAAATTCAATGGACAAAGGAGGATTTTGTATTTGTATTTCATAGTTTGTATATAGCTGGTACTTAGTGTCATCTAGTGCAATAAAACATAAAAACGAGAGAGCGAGAGATGGTAAGCAAGTCCCAAGGGATTTGGCCTTCACTCGTGTGGCCATTGTTTCAAAAACAAGTTGTGTGGCTCTCCCCCTTTCTATCTCCTTATCTCCCCTCTTCACTTTTCCACCTCAAAACTTCATTAGTTTATTCTATTACAATCTCCCACCCTCATTCTTTTCATCCTTTTGTTTTATCCTCCAACTTTCACATTGGTCTAAGTCCGCCCCACCCACCATCTCACAATTATTTTAGTAATACACTTATATAGAAAAAATATAAAAGAATAAAAGTAGAAGGGCAATTATGCAAAGGTATCACAAATACATTGTGAACCATACGTACCTAACCGCGAAGGATTTTTCTCCTTGCTCTTATCCGCCACGCGTCTAGAGAGTCCAATAAGCGACGTTACGTGATTGAGATAAACCAAATAAGAAAATAAATTTAATTTTCAAACATTGAAATGAAGTTAAAAATAAATATAAAAGGAAGAATATATATATTAAAGAGGTCTAGAGAAGAAAAGGCCCTCAGGAGCTTCCGCCTTTTTCAGAGGTAACTTCTTTCTCCTTTCTGATTTTGCAAAGTTTACTACTTCGACTTCTCCGCTTCTTACTGTATAACGTATATACATATCTCTTTGAATCGATCACACATATTTGTTGGTCTATGAACTAGTAATATATGTTTCTGTTTATTGCTTATTTGTTTCTGTTTTGTATATATTTAAAGACAATATATGTTTCTGTTATTGCTTATTTGACTTGATCATAGAAGTAAGTAATAAATATATATATATATATATATACCACAATATGTTCATGATGCATATACTCATGTTTTAGCTCTTTCCTAAGGTAAAATTGTAAACTTTTTTTGGTAGTGGGGGAGAAGGAGAAACAAGGTTAGGAAAAGATGGATTATATGAATGGACCAGGGAGACACCATCTGTTTGTTCCAGGACCGGTGAACATACCGGAACAGGTGATCCGGGCCATGAACCGTAACAACGAGGATTACCGCTCACCAGCAATCCCGGCACTTACGAAAACATTGTTGGAGGACGTGAAGAAGATATTCAAGACAACATCTGGGACACCATTTATGTTTCCCACGACCGGGACTGGTGCTTGGGAGAGTGCCTTGACAAACACGCTATCTCCTGGAGACAAGATCGTCTCGTTTCTGATCGGACAATTCAGCCTGCTTTGGATTGACCAGCAGAAGAGGCTAAAGTTCGATGTTGATGTGGTCGAGAGTGAATGGGGACAAGGTGCTAATCTCCAAGTCCTGGCCTCAAAGCTCTCACAAGACCATAATCATTCCATCAAAGCCATTTGCATTGTCCACAATGAGACCGCCACTGGAGTCACCAATGACATCTCTGCTGTCCGAACCATCCTCGGTCATTAATTTATTACAACCATTTCTTTGTTTTTTCTTTCTTTATTTCTCTGTTACTATTCACTTACACAGCTTTACACACAGATCACTACAAGCACCCGGCTTTGCTTCTCGTGGACGGTGTCTCGTCCATATGTGCGCTTGATTTCCGAATGGATGAGTGGGGAGTGGACGTGGCCTTGACCGGCTCACAAAAGGCCTTATCTCTGCCAACAGGACTTGGGATTGTGTGTGCCAGTCCAAAAGCCTTGGAAGCAACCAAAACTTCGAAATCTCTCAAAGTCTTCTTTGATTGGGCTGACTATCTCAAGTTTTACAAGCTCGGAACATATTGGCCATACACACCTTCCATTCAACTCCTATACGGTCTTAGAGCTGCCCTTGATCTTATCTTTGAGGAAGGACTTGAGAATGTCATTGCCCGTCACGCTCGTTTGGGAAAGGCCACCAGGTAATTAAGTTTATGGCTTTGTGACCATTTCAATATAATTTAAACAGCAACCCTTTTTTGACATGGCTTTTAGTATTAAGTATACCATTATAGATTTACTTATTATGTATAATTAGAAAACAAACAATTGACCCAATTAATATATCTATTTACCTATAACGGCATAAATAGTTAATCTTCATATGATCCCTTACAAAAATTTAGGAACCACTAACTCTTACAATATTAGAGCATCTCCAATGGGATATAAGGAGGTTCTATCTCATGGTTCTATCTAATTATATGTTCAAAATTAAATCAAAAAAGAGAAAAAATAGATAGATATGGTTCTAAAAATAGAACTTTTGGAACCAATTCTAAAAATGTTATATCTCATGGTGTCACTTTTTGACTGGGTAGTATTTTTAAGAGAAAAACAAAATTTTCACCTAATTTTTTTCTGTCTCTCTCTCTTTTAAAACTTAGAACTTTTAATTGATTCTATTATTGGAGGGGTTATCTAATTTTTTTAATTTGATTATTTTCAATTAAAATTTGATTTAGAACTCTTACTGCAGTAGTTAAATCATCTCTGGTTACGATCTGAAGTATCTCAAACAAGAGACTTTTAGTACACCAATTGAGTTACAATTACTAAAAGTTTGTTAATACGATCATGTATACGTAGGCTTGCGGTGGAAGCGTGGGGCCTGAAAAACTGTACACAGAAGGAGGAGTGGATAAGTAACACAGTGACAGCCGTCGTCGTGCCACCGAATATAGACAGTACGGAGATTGTGAAAAGAGCGTGGAAGAGGTACAACCTAAGTCTTGGTCTTGGTCTCAACAAAGTGGCTGGAAAGGTTTTCAGAATTGGGCACCTTGGACACCTTAATGAGGTACGTTTGTCTATATGTTTGTAATCCAGTTTTCGATTAATATAATCACACTCTAATCACAATACTAATTAACACGCAGTTGCAACTTCTTGGGTGTTTGGCTGGAGTGGAGATGATACTGAAGGATGTTGGGTACCCGATTGTGTTGGGAAGTGGAGTTGCAGCTGCCTCTACTTATCTTCAGCACCAAATCCCTCTCATTCCTTCGAGGATCTAATTCATATCCCCGTTTCTCTATCTTTATTCTCTCCCTCTCAATGTACAACAAAACTCTTTGTTTTCTCTTCCAGTACTTCTTTTATATCTTACTAAATTATCTATCTTTTATGTGCAATTATTCCCAACAAACTTATTAAAAAGGGTCAAATGTATTTCTTATTCACAAATAACTTTATTTCAATACCTTCACTTTAGCGGAAACACTGTTAAGTGGATCCAAACTCCACCACCCCTTCCTTTTGAGGTCTTTCACACCTATTTGGTGCAAAGAAGTCCGGAGGAAGTCCGTGTGGATGTTATTATCGGCTTTTCAAAAATGAAGATTTGGAAAAAGGTTGAATGAGTGAAATCAGTGATAATTTTTTGGTTAGTGTTCGAAAATTAGAATGCTAGACTGGACAAAATCTAATAGCATTCAGGACTGAAATCTTGAATCAATGATTCAAATATTGTTTTTGTTAATACTTTTTATTAAATTAGGTATCAAATATTTTAATCCCTTGAATCGAATATTTGAAATCAATAAGTATTTGACTGATGATGGCACATCGATCTACACAACTGAACGGAAGGAGCATGACACAATTTCAGCGTTGTCTCAGATTAATGGTAATAATTTTGTTTACTTTTACTATGGTTTTATGTTTTAATATTTTATTTATGTCAATAACATGTATTAAGTTCATTATTTATTTTTCTTTGCAGAAAAGTATTATTATATTTGTGAGGAATGGTGAGAAATTGTCTGAAGCAAAATTCTAAAAGTTGTTGTTAGACGAAGATTATTGGTCATTATTATCTAGACAGAGTTTTAAAGTTTAGATTAATTTTTTAAAATATTGATTTGAAAAAATTATTTCGTTCATACTCAATTGACCGACTAGGCAGACGTCTACACTACAAGAAAACTAAGCATTTACTTGGAAAATAATTCCTCGTAAAATTACTACGAGTTTACTTCGAGTTTACGAGGAAACATGGTTTCCTCGTAAGGTTCTCGTATACTTACGAGAAAACAGTTTCCTCGTAAAGTCGTAGTAACATTACTAGGACTTTACGAGGAAAAAAAACGCGGGCATAGCTATTTCCTAGTAAAGCAGTTTCCTCGTAAAGTCCTAATAATAGCTTACTACGAAATTAAGAGGAATGAGTTTTGTTACTACGAAATTAAGAGGAATTAGATAGAAAATATCGAATTTTAATTTTGTACCTACTTTTCCTAGCAATTTCTTAGTAAATTCTCAGATTCGAAAATTTCTATAAATACCACCATATGTGATTCATTTGAAACACACCAAACAAATAGAAAATACTCAATTCATAACTGAAAGAAGTTCACAGTCAACATAATAGTTTCTTATCAACTCCTCATAGCTTTTCCTCAAAGAAATATCTTGGGGCTTTTCTTCGGGTAGATAGTTCGAGGAAAGCTATGTGGGGTTGATAAAAACCGTTCCGATGACTGTATACTTCTTTTAGTTTTTTAAAAAAAAATTGTGATTTGGGGTTTAGAAAGATGTATAGGTATAAGTTATGGAAGTTGGTTTAGGTTTAGGTTTAAGGTTAGGGTTTAGGGAATTTAGATTAGGTGGTTAGTTTAGGGAACTTATATTAGGTTGTTTAGTTTTGAACATTTGGGGTTTAGATGTAGAAGAGGTTAGGAGTTTGGTTGTAGAAGAGGTTATAAGTTAAGGAAGTTGTGGTTTGGGGTTTGGGGTTTCGAGTTTAGGGATTTACAAACCCTTTCCTCGTAAAGCCCTAGTAAGAGAAAACCT